CTGGACACGGAAAAAGACAAAAGACAAAAAAAAAAAAAAAACTATGAGACTTATTAAATTTGGGAGGCTCGGATGGGGTCATCACTAAGCCACCCCAGATGAGCAAGGGCCATCCGCCTCTTGTAGGTCAGAGAGCACGTTGTGTGCCATCCGCCCAGCCCAGCAGACAGCAGCAGGTGCAGGAGAGACCCTGGGCAAGGCCAGGCCCACAGCTGCTGTGCCCTTGACCATACACGGGCAGGAGACTGCAGCCACTATTAATAACCATGGCGTGTCTGTCTGCCCAGCACCCGGAGCGGCGGCGGCTCCTATAAAGCCAGGCCTGCCAGCTCCGCAAGGTTCCTTCAGCCCCCGAGACCTTTAACCCCCCTGTTGTGAGACAAAAAGAAAAGTAAGTACCAGAACCATTTTCCCACCCCCGTCCCCCTGCCCGGGTCCCCCGCAGAACACCGGCCCCTTGCGGCCACCCGAAAAGTGAGACACAACAGTGCTGAAACGAGACACCCACTCCAAGGACGTCCGAAATACAGATCCTCTGTGGCACTTAACTGTCCCAGGCGGTTTGGTGGCTTTCAGGAAGATGGGAGGAGGAGGAGGAGACCAAATTGTCTTTGGGCTGGGCCTTCTGTCCTGTTCTCCCTGTCCTAGAGGGGACAGAGCTGGGGACCCCCTCCCCTGGCCAGGAGACCCCCAGCATGCATGCGTGTCTCGGGTGATGTGGCCACAGCAGCGGTGGCTTCCCTTCGTGTGGGGGTGATGTGGGGACTCCCTCCCACCTTCTCTGCCCCCCACCCTCAAACCTCCTGGGGTCTCCCAGCCCCCTGGGGTTTTATACTTTGAAGGTCTTTTGATGGGAACAAGCCCTGTGTGCACTGATTGAACCCCAGGGCGTCTCCCCTCCCCGTCACACCGTCCCCTACCTTGGAGAGGGTCCGACCCTAGTCCCTGCCCAGGATGTTCAGTGGCGTCGAGATCTTGTTGGATGCCGGAGAAACTTTGCGGAATGGGGGGAGAGGAGGTCTTTGCTCGGGAGCCCCCAGCTCCCCCCAGAATGCACTAGGCAGATACGGGGGCCTCTTGGGCCACGATGGAGGGTGAGTGGCCACCTGAGCCACCCTGGTCTGTCCCCTTCTGCCCGCTCCTCCCCCAGGCCCTGGCTGGCCCCTCAGTCTGCCCCAGGGAACCCCCCCCCCACTTAGGGGCCGGGTGGCAGGGAGTCTGGGCGCACCTGAGTTGGGGTGTCCTTTGGAGGTGACCGCTTTGGTCCTGGCGGGGCCCTGGGGGGGGATGGCTGTGTCACCAGCAGAGTAACTGCTGATTAAGAGGCCGCTGAGTGCTACCTGATGTCAGTGACAGATGCAGGGGGGTGGGGGGTTCTGAAGTAGAGTGGGGGGGCCTCGCCCCCCGCCTCCCAGGGCCTGCGTTGGGGTGGATTTCAGGCTCTCTCCCCTCCGCAGCTATTAGGACTTTTGGGGGAGGGCTCGAGGGCAGATTTCTGATGGGGTGACTGTCCTGGGGCTCCGGGGTAGCGGTCCAGGGCAGGGAGCTTTCGTCCTGCATGGAAGCTCATCTGTCCTCCTCTGTCCGTGTATCCATCCAGCGGGTGGGCACGGGAGCTCGGGATGCTGGCTCTGAACTTCTCTGGCCTGGGGTCCCTGTCACCTTATGGCCCTGTGGGGATCAGGAATAGGGGCCCCTGGGTAGGGGAATTCCAACAGAGCCAGGCCTCATCCAGCCAAGCTCCTCAGGCCTAGGGGATGACTTGGCCCAGAGAGGTGTCAGCCACGGGATGGGCATGTGTGTGTCAGGGTTGGCGCCTGTTCTGGGCCCTCAGCCCCTCCCAAGGACCTTGTCTGCACAATGTGTGCCATGCTGGGCACTTTGAGAGAGCAGGGACAGAGTTGGAGCCCATTCTCTGCTCTCTCAGCAGGGTCTCTGCCCCGCAGCCCTGGACATTTGGGACAGGATCCTTCTCTGTGGTGAGGCCGTCCTGGGCACTGCAGGTGCTGAGCAGCGTCCCTGGCCTCCACCCACTCCATGCCAGGAGCAGCCCCCTCCCCAGGTGTGACAACCACAGATGTCCCCGGACACTGCCTAGTGTCCTCTGGGGGCAGGATCACCCCTGGGTGAGAAACCCCTGACCTGAGATTGTGCTTGGCCTTGAACGTTTCAGCAGGGTGGGATGCTTAGGGCATCCCTGGGGACGATTTTAGGTGATAGGTGAGCGAGTATTTTTAATTTGAGTAGTCCTGTGGTTTCTTTTAATGTGTATCAGAAAAATTCAGGTTTTTCCCATTCAGTGCCATAAAGTTTCCTCCTCAAAAGAATTTAGTTAAGGGCCGGCCCGTGGCTCACTTGGGAGAGTGCGGTGCTGACAACACCAAGGCCCCGGGTTCGGATCCCATATAGGGATGGCCGGTTTGCTCACTGGCTGAGCGTGGTGCTGACAACACCAAGTCAAGGGTTAAGATCCCCTTACCGGTCATTTAAAAAAAAAAAAAAAAGAAAAAAGAAAAAAAGAATGCAGTTCAAATCAAGAAAATAAGTGAGGCTCCTAAAAAAACTAGTAAATGAGCAAGTGGGCGGAGCTTTGGTCTGGGACCCCAGCCCCTGCTGTAAGGTCTGTGTCACTTGAGGGTCCTGGAAACTGGAGGCAGCTGGACGGGGGGTCTCCTCTGGGGGAGGTGGGAGCTCAGAAGTGGCTGTGTCCTGCCACTGGGCCCCAGGCACAAGACAGTGAACAGTGGATATGCCCCAGGTTCCCAGGCTGGCCGACCTGGCCTCGAATCCCGATTCTGCCTTTTATGTGTGGCCTCGGGTAAGGGACTCCCCCACCCCCCAGCCTGTTTCCTCATCTGCAAAAAGAAATCACTTGCACGTATCTCATAGAGCGGCGCAGGTAATTCCAAGCCCTCCAAACACCTGACAGGTGTGGACCCCTCGCTGGGGGTGGGCACTGGCCTCGGCCGGTCGCCGTGGTGAATGACAACACCAATCACACACCCAGCAAGTGCCCAGCGCTGCGCTGAGCATACAGGAGAGGAAACTGAGGCACAGAGGTGATGTGTCAACTGCCGCGGACAGCTCACCAGGAAGGGCCGGGGCAGCCGGATTCCGGAGCTGCCTGCTCGCACACGACCTGGGTGGTTTTGGGGTGTCCTGGTGCTTATGGAAACGGGGGGCGCAGCTGGTGTGCCCGACGAGGGCGGGGGTGGCAAAAAAGTCACAGGTTGTTGTACCAGATGCCTTTCCCTGTGCCCGGAGCCACCCACTGAGGGCAACATTGAGGGGGGCTCTCTGGGCCCCTTGGATGGTTCTGGAAGGGATGAGAGGGACCCACACGGGGTGGGGCCGAGCGTGGTCACGCTTTCTTGGCTGGGGGAGGCCATGGGGTCGGCATGTGACAGACCCGAGTTCAAATCCGTCTGCTCTGCTGGGTGACCTTGGGCATGTCAGTTTCCGCCCCCCCCTCCAGCCCTATAGAAATGGGTTATGGGATAATCTGCTCTCACGAGGTGGTTGGTGCCTTTTACGGTGACCAGTTCTAGTTTGCCTGGGACTAGAAGGTTCCTGGGGACACAGGATTTTCAGAGCTAAAACGGGGTAAGTTCCAGGCAAACTGGGACAAGCTGGCCACGCTACTGCTACTGTTCTTATTCTTTTTCTTTTTAAAAAATGTTGGTGTGAAATATACACAATATAAAATTCACCATTTTAACCATTTCTAAGTGCACAGCTCAGTGGCATTAAGCACATCACGTTCCTGTGCAACCATCACCGTCATCTCCAGAACTTTCTCCTCTTCCCAAACTGAGTCTCTGTCCCCATGAGACACTCACTCCCCAGCCCCCTCCCCAGCCCCCGGCACCCCCCATTCTGTCTCTGTGGCTCTGACGACTCTAGGGACCTCCTGTGAGTGGAATCACACAGTGTTTGTCCTTCTGTGTCTGGCGTCTGTCACTGAGCAGTGTCCTCAGGGTTCATCCACGCTGTAACGTGTGTCAGGATTTCCTTCCTTTTTAAGGCTGAATCGCATTCCATTGTGTGGATGGACCACGTCGTGTTTATCTTTTCATCTGTTGGTGGATATTTGGGTCGTTTCCACCTTCTGGCTGTTGTGAATCATGCTGCTATGAACATGTGTGTACACGTTTTTATTTGAACACCCACTTTCAATCCTTTTAGGTTCATGTTAAGGAGTGGAATTGCTAGATCATATGGTAATTGGTTCTTTTTTTTTTTTTTTTAATTTTCCATATTTGCAAATGGTCACTGGCTATGTCCACAACTGTCTGGACTGCAGGATTTTTCCTGCCCTTCTGGATTGAGCAGGGACAATGGCTGCAATTCCGTAGCCAGCCATGGGGTGTCACTCTCGAGTCAAGGGGTACCTCCCCCCACCTCCCCACCCCAGACTTGTGTCTCCCCAGGACCTTCCAACCTGCCTTGGGCAAAAACAAACAAACAAACAAACAAACAAACAAAAAAATAGAGTCCGAAGAGACCCTGGTTCAAATTCCAGCTCCAACAAGCTACTCTGAGCCTCAGTTTTCTCCTCTGTGAAATGGGCGTAAATAATTAAATGTCTCACCAAAGTGGGCAGGAGGGTTCAGGGAGACATGAGTTCCATGTGAGAGGAAGGGGCTTGGATCCTGGACAGGAAGTGTGGGCTTTTTGAGCATTTTGGGTCAGGGTAGTGCTGATAACTCTATGAAGTAGTTATCAGCTTCAGTCACAGAGCAGGGGAGAGGTGGGAAGGAGGTAGAGTAGCGCTTCTCAAGCCAGCTGCCTCAGGCTTGGCTCGGACCCTCCAGCTGTCTGTTGAAAGCACGCAGAAAATTTCCCCTTTGGGGAAACAGAAGCCCTAGGGACCCCCAAGCAGCCTACTGAGCACATCAGCAGGAGCTGTCAGCACTGCCCCCAGAGGCCACCAATGACCCAATGAGAGAGGGCAGGAGAGTCCCACTGGGCACCTCAAACATAACACGCTGGACCCCAACTGCTAAAAAAACAGGACCGGGTTTAATAGGCGTTTCAGGGCTGCATCCTGGAGCCCCAAGATTGTGAGCTGTGAATGGGGTGTCCACTCTTGTATGTACAGACTTCCCTAAAGGGAAACGGTCACACAGTGTCCAGCTGGGACACCACAGGCCTGGCCGTCCTATGGCTGGAATTGTGCCCGGGTCCCTACGGCCTGGCAGGTGAGGGGGCTGACGCCTGGGAGCGGTTCAGGAGCAAGTTCTGAATGTCTTCCAGGACTTGATGGAAAAGATCCTCGCGGGACTTCATGCCATCCAGGTACACTGAAATCAGAGAGGCCACGACAGGGCTGCTGGGTTCCACCGCCAGGAGGAAGGTGGCCAGTGCACAGGGGGACGGGCAAAGTGCTGGGTCAGGAGGAAGCTGACCTGCAGCGTCAGCCTGCTGAGATAGATCAGTCTCCAGGACTGACAGCAAGAGGGACTAGGGTGAGACTCAAGGAGGGACTTCCAGATTCCCCAAATGGTCTTGAGTGGGGAGGACTGAAGAGCATGGGGGATACGGAGGGGCTGGGCTCAGGGTCCCCCTGGGGGTGCTTACCCACTTCCACACTGTTTGCCTCCATCTCCCGTTTATACTTCTGGTACATGGGCCACACGTGGCCATCAAAGAGGCCAGGGGGATCAGGGATCGCGTAGCTGCGGGTGCTGCGGGGTGAGACAGACATGAATGAGTGACAGGCTCACCACCCATAGGTGGTGGCAAGGGCAGGCTCTGGGAGGGCCCAAGGAAGGGGACCCTAAGTTGGAAGTTTCGGCTGGGAGGCTGGTGGCCCCGGGGCAGGGTGGGGTGGCCATGCCCCGCAGATCTCAGGCTTCAGACCTTGGGCGCAAAGCACTGGCAAGCTGTGCGCCCATGGCCGGTGGGCAGTTTTTGACTACTGGTCCCACCCAGGGAATCCAGGACGGGGCCCTCGGGACTCCGGGCCCCTGTCCCCAAGCCTCCAGGCCCACCTTGCGCCCATGGCCGGTGGGCAGTTTTTGACTACTGGTCCCACCCGGGGAATCCAGGACGGGGCCCTCGGGACTCCGGGCCCCTGTCCCCAAGCCTCCAGGCCCACCTTCTCCTCCTCTTGCATTCTTCATATGGGATGGTCAGGAAGTACCGGCAGCTGTACAAGTCCACCAGGGGCCTGGGCAGGCGGTGGGGGACACGTCAGCACCGGGGAGCTTTCCCTTAACTGGGGCCAAAATACACAATCCCCCCAGCCCTGGCCTCCAGGGACTTTCATGGGTGGTGACAGCTGGGAGCAGGGTGGCATGGGCCAGTCGGTTTAGGGATCAGGGAGGGAACCAGCATTGGCTAACCTCCCTCCCCTACAGCAGCCCTCCGAAAATGGAATCATGTCTCTCCCCAACCTGGACGGGCACAGAGAGGTACAACGTCTTGCCCACGGTCACACAGCGAGGCCAGGAGTCCAGCCCAGGCTACTGCTCAGCCCGAGAAGGCTGAGGTTCTCGAAGGAGGACTCAGTTTCTCCAAGAAGTGTGGCTGTTTGCCCCATTCCCTTGAGTTGATCCGGCTCAGCCCCCGACTCTGGGCCTCCCGCTGCCCCCTGCCCCCCACCTTGGTCTCCTGTGTATCAACATAGACACGCAGCTGGGCCAGACCAACCCGTGGGAGGGCCCGGACTGCGTGGGACCGGACCCCACTGTCGCTCACTTGTAGCTGTAGAGTAGAAAGCCTTCCAGAAGGAGGATGTGGGTGTCCGAGGTGTCTGGTGTGACGCTGACCCCATGGGCACGGGCAAACTTCTGAGGGCTGCTCAGCCAGGCCTGCACGGTGCCCAGCATGGCCTCCATGTCCAGGGACTCGAGCACTAGGGACACAGACGGGGCCATGGGAGCAGGGCCAGGGCCTGGGCAGCAGGGCAGGGGGCTCAGGCTACCACACTCCTTACCGTCCCACTGTTTGAAGCCGTCCTCCCCAACTGCTATTTGGTCTTGGGGCTGAAACAGAGGAGCCCAGCCGCGGGCTCAGTGCCCGCTCTTGCCTGCCCCGCCTCACCCTGAGCCTTGGGGGGGGGGGCCAGGTGCCCAGACAGCTCACAAAGAGGGGCCCAGGGTCTCAGTGTAGCTCCTGCCCCCTTCCCCCAGCAGTTGCAGCTTGAAAGCTCCGAAGTCCTGGGTGGGGTGGGGGCTCCGATTCTCCTCTGCCCCTCGCCTCACGATCCCTCACCCTGGCCGAGGCAGAGAGGGTGGGCTCCGAGCCCATTTTGCAGACGGGAAAGTGGAGGCGCACAGGGAGGAATGGAACTTGCCCAGAGGGCTACAATGGCTAGTCCCCTCTTCCCCACCAGCCTAATGGGGTTCCCCATCAGAGTGGTCCGGGGAGCCTGCGCTGGGGGCCTAGTGGGTGCTAGTAAATGAGGACGCCTGTGCCTGGCTCTCCCGGCCCCGGTTAGCCCGGGTGGTCTGGGAGGGGTCAGGCAGGAGCGGAGGCCTGTGGCCAGCTGGCTCGGGCGCTGGGCAGCAGAGGCTGGGGCTGCTCTGGGCCTGGCTGCGTGTCCCCGCCACCCCCTGGGGCAGGGGTGGACCTTGTAGAAGTCATCCTGGTGGATTACACAGCAGTTGGGGAGCGACTTGAGAAGGTTGTTGGTCAGCGTGGTTTTGCCACCGTTGGTCATGCTGTGGGGAGGGCACGGGGGTGAGGCTGCCCGGCCCCCCAGAGAAAGCCAAGGTGGGCAGGAGGGGCCTGAGGTCCAGCCCGGGTCCCCTCCAGCCTGAGGGCCGCCCTGCAAACCGTCTCCCCAGAATTAGATTTCAACAGAAACCAAGCACGAGACGAAAACTGTAATGCAGACCGGAGAGGGCACGTCCATTCATTTAGGTTCAGAGGAGGCTTGCTGAGCAGAGAGAAAAGAGGCAGAAAACACACACACACAGACACACACACACACACACACACGCACACACAGACACACACACACAGACACACACGCACACGCACACACACGCACACGCACACAGACACACACACGCACACACACACAGACACACACACGCACACAGACACACACACACACGCACACACACGCACACACACACAGACACACACACGCACACACACACACAGACACACACACACACGCACACACACGCAAAGCGAACCCTCACCCAGACAACACGTGCCAAGGACATTCTAAGTTCTACTTTACGTGGATGGACTTATTCTATCGTTACTGAAAACCCAGGAGGTGGGAGCATTCACCTATTTTTACAGATGAGGAAACTGAGGCCCAAGCCTGGATTAGCTTCAGTAGCGCTCAAAAAAAAAAATTTTTTTT